TTGGTGTCTACTCTTTGCGCTGAAAATAGTTTAGTTATTCAAATAATAATAAATAATAATAATAATATAAAATAAAATGATAATGACTAGTGTTGTTTACTCCATCTAATAGAATTATAATTTTGCCCATGTACTAATTAAAAGTAAAAACTAATTAATGCCTAAGATACATAGGTGAAATAACCAAACCATCATGAGAATATAAAATATTGTCAAAAAGTATTAACACCATCACCTGAGGATTTCCATTCATACAATACTCATGCATTATCTATTTTGTCCACTCCCCTTTTGGTGCACGACCTGTGTGGAACACCAATGTCCTTTTTGTGCCAATCAAATTAGATCCTAACTTCACATTTCGTTCTTTCCCAGTGGCTTTCCAATAGCCAGATTTAGTTGCTCTCTTACTTTGTGAGCATTTGGGTACTTCCTTCCACGAGAAGAAAAGAAGAACCATTATTCTCTGAAGGAATGACTATTTAGCTGCAATATATAAAAATCACTAACCATCCTCTGTTCACAATAAATAGGACTTTATATTCTTCAAACACAAAATAATGTATTAAAGCATGTGAACCACAAAATAAATACAAACAATGGCACTTAATACCCATAAAACAGTGAAAGTAAGCATAATATCCAGAAGCCAATGCATAATTACTTCTATAAACATATCATTTGTCCTATAGAAAGCATACCACATGGGACACCTATAGATATAATGAAAATTCCAAGTCAATGTCATCATAAATAATTCTTATTAATATAAGTTGTAAAAGTGCATATTAGTATAAGTCTTATTAATATTAGTTCTCAAGTGACTGCTTCACATTACTCACTGAAACCAAACTAGGGCAGGGGATGCCCTTCAAACTAACATAAGAAAAAATGAAAGTATAGACAATAGCTAGATACATAGGTGAAATAAACAAACCATTCACCAAAAATCCAAGAATGGTGAGAGAGGGGTAACGTCTGCTAAGAAGAACAAAAAAAACAAAGTCTAACTTTTTCTAAGAATGTGAAGATCTTTCAAGTTCCAATCTAGAAAAAAAGGGGGAAAACTTAGGGTTTTGGTTCGGGACCTTGAAATCGCCATGAGAGACAGAGAGAGAGAGGGAGATGGACAGATTGAGATAGCATTTGTAGAGTGAGAGACCTATGCCCATCTGTAGAGGGAGATGGACAATACAATGGGTTCTCAGTCCTAGTTAATTGCATTAGAGCATACATAAATAGGATAATTCTGGTACAAAACAATACAATGGGTTCACTCACAAGATCACTCCATGCTTGAAGAAAAATCAATCAATTTCAAATTCATTGTTGATAAAAGTGCATTTAGTTAAAAATTTAAAAGAGCAACATATTCCAAAAAAGGGGGAAAAAATTTAAAAGACAGATTTTAATCAATCCTAAAATCTGTCTCTACTCATATATTAAAAGACAGATTTTAATATATATATATATAAATCGTTCAAGACAGAATTTTAGGACTACAATCTATCATAATATATATAAATCCTTGAAACAGATTTTAGGACAACAATCTATCATATATTTATCATATACTCATATATATAATATATATATCTGTCTTCAAAATATCAGAGAGAGAGAAGTGAATGCCGTCGGTGGAAATCAATCGGTGGAGAGAGAGAGCGAGAGGAGAGAGACGAAGACGAAAGGAGGAGGAGGAGGAGGCGGTGTGAAGAGTAAGGGGAGAGGGAGAGGGAGACATACCTCTGTTTTGCGCCGCTTGAGGCTGTGGATTGAGAAGAGTGAGAGTGAGAGTGAGAGGAGTGGAGTGAAAGGGAAAGGAGAGTTAGAGCTTATTTGTTTATTCAGTAAAAAGGGTCGGATCCAGTCTTTAAAAAAAAATTGAAAAATGCAAACGACGTAGTTACATAAAATTGGCGACTGAATTTCAGTTTGGTGCTAAAAAATGTCGCCAAAAATTTTTTTGTTGTAGTGTTTCATATATTTTTTTACTTGAAGAATTTGGGAAATTAATGATCATCTGCAATGATGTACAGATTCTTTCCTTTTTGGTGAGCATGCCTCTTCTAATATCTTCAAAGAAAAAAACGAAAAAAAAAAATCAAATAACTTCATGGTGACATCTGACATGTGAGCCAATTGCATTACGAGAGAGAGCTGTGATGAAAGAGCAAGTTGCATTACATGTATAAAACTAGGATTGTTGGATGGCAAACAGAAGAGAATGATAATATGACTTCAACTTCATCAAGTAATGAAAGAAAACACTCAAGAATGTGATGATGTTGATAGTAACAAAAACTTCCCTTCCCTAGCTGTTATATATATTTAATTATTTAACATGTACATACTTTTGGCAAGTTATGTAGAAAAAAATGAATATTTAACAACCTTAATTTAAATCGCTTTAGTGTTTGTTTGATTCAACATGACTTGGATGGCAAAGCATACATTAATATGATCTTTTGTGGGCATGGTCCCCAAAACAGGCATTTGTATGCTTAAATCACCTGTAATATGAATAGAATGGGTGCCAACAACCATAGTTGACCGTTGACTCCAGCAGTTTTCCCCAAACAACATCCATTCTCCTAGCCTGTAATTAACAACGGGATCAAATGGTAAGAGTCATCTCAGACCTGAGAGAGAACATTGCAATAAACATTATATGCCACCAAAAAAAAGTTCTATCTGTATTTCGATGGGCCATAAAAACTAACACAGATCGGCTAGAAGACAAAAACATGGTTATTGCAACTAGCAAAAGCAAAAGAACTCATTGAAGTTCTGCAAACCATGAGGACGACAAGGTTCACAAAGAGCACACAACCAAGTGCAGACACACACCAAAGTAGACTGCAGAAAGAACTAAGATAATAAAGGCAAAAATGAAGCATGCACAGAATTTGTTGGTGAAAGGAATTTTTTTTTTTTTTTCCCTTTTCAATTACACCTTCCGAGTGCAATGTGTACAAAGCCTTTGCCGTTGATATTCTATTTTAGAAGCATTGCAACTCCTTGCATGATAGCCCATTGAAGAACAATGCACCCCTCTCGCACAGACATGTACAGTCTCACTCATTAAAAAAAAAAAACAAAAAAAAAACAAAATTTCAATATGCACTTAAGAAGATAATAACCTGCTTTGGTCTCCCAAGTGAGACTGATAATGCATGGCCATGCGAAGTAGTGATGTTTATCCACCTACATCAGCACAAGTGCAAGCATTAACATATTCTGTGGTGTATGCATATTAATCTAGAGGCAGATAAGATCACAAAAAAAAAATCCAATCCTTTGCTTGGTTCCCAGTTTTTAAAAACATTTTCAGAAATTTACACTCTTTCCGTGTTTTTTTGTTTTAACTGAATTTAATTTTATGCAAATTTTACTTTTTAGACCAGCAAAATAAATACACCTAAAGTAAAATATAAAAAAATCTTTAAAAATTTACTAATACAAAAATACAAAAAAAACAAGAATTTAGTACATTTGATTTATGACTTAATAATATTTTTCACAATTTTTTACTTAGACACATCTAAGTAAGTGCATCTAAAGTAAAATGTTAAATTAAATATTCACTCACGAATGCAAAAAACTTAGTTCAAAAACAATCAAAAATAAACAAACACATCAATGCATTTTCACATTTTCATCCAAGTTCTGACAGAATTCGGAAAATAAAAGAGAATGAGCCTGCCAGTTGAATAAAAAGCATGATATGAGTCCAGTAATATTGAACATGGCAGAAATTCCTGGAATTAGAATGTAGTTGCTGCTGCTGCATATAAGAGAACAAGATACTGCCAGAAAAACTCAATTTAACAAAATTAAACATGTCTATTTGGAGTAACTCAATGAATTCTTTTGCAACATGCAGCTCCATCTAGATAATATCCTCCTTCATTATTGACAACCATTATTTTTTCATATACTCTACCCTCTGTTCATTTTCTAATTCATTGCAATATGCAGTTTGACAACACACTGTATAAATTCATTTACTGAATATCATGCTATAATTTTAAGCATGGAAGTCAAAAGATTCTTCTGGCAACTCTATTTTATAGCATAAATTCATTGCCAGTAAAATTGCATATTCACTTTCCCTCCTGAAAGGCATGGGAGATGAAATACTAATGTCTGACTATGAAAATATGTTTTAAAAAAATCTCAATCACAAATACACAAATAGTTTAAATGATGAAGAATAAAGGCAAGGCAATCTTAGCACAAAATTCAACAAATGCAATAAGATCATATCAAATTACCATGGGCGAATATCACTTCCATTCACTCTAAGTATGTTCTCTCGCAAAGCCAAACCTGTGTAGAGAATTAACAACCATGCCTGAAAAACAAAACTTACTTGGTAAGTCAACGAGAGATGGAAATAGCTGAACAAATGACCCAAGAGACATCAATGCTGGAAACACACTTAGAAACGATTTTTCAAATCTGCATCAAAAAAGAAAACAGAAAAAAAAATATATGTATGAAAGTCAGTAATGCCCTTCACTGCAGATGAGTCCACAGTATCTCCGAAAGCATTCTTTTAGATCCTCCTTTTTGAAATTAAACATATGTGTTTAGTTGTCAAAATTTCCGTTAGGCTCAATTAGTTTCAGTACGAAATTACAATACCATATTTTGTTCCAACAAGGTCGGGAAGGTGCATAATAACTTTAAACATACAAAAAAGATGTGGCACCACATAAGCAACAAAATTTATTTCTGAAGTAGCATTGACAGGACAAAAATAAAATAAAACTACAATTATGAATACCAATATATGAAGGGTCTTGTTAACAAGTGTCCCGGGGACACGAAAAGTAGACCCAAATTTTTTTTTTAAAACACAAGACACTTTTTATTAAATTCAATGCAGTTTTTATGGAAATTAATGCACTTTTCTTCTTTTAACTGTTTGACCTATTTTCAAGACACTCCTTTATTTCAATTCCAATATCCAGCACTTTTGGCATTTGTCATGTACAAATATCTCGAGGACACAACAATTGCACGAATTATAACTAAGATCATTCCAATAAAATAAATTAAATATATCTTTTAAGAACAGAACCAAAAAGATGACATGAGGAACTTAGCATTAATGGGAAAAACTACAAATGCAAGACTGATGTTAGAGGAGGATAAGTTACCAAAATATTTGATATACATGTTGCATACTTCTTTTCTACTTCTAAATCTGAAAATTCAGTCAAATAAAGAAACTAAACCCCAAGCAAAGAATCATGCCAATTTCAAATCATACCTGAGGGAGAAATGTAAGGAAATTAGTTAAAAGTTTTCTCTTGTTAAGATTCCGAAAGTCCAGTGTAGCTTCAGCAACAACAGGGTCTAAAAGTTCACTGCAATGAAACATTGGAAGAGTGATTTTCAAATACGATTTATCATATGATATGCCATCATAAATAAAGAATAATTGTTAGATGATATCATAATTTCTTTTTTTCCCCATAAATAACTTATTGTGAAAGAAGGACTACAAACATCTTTACCAGCTCAAACATGAATGAATGAATAGGGTCTTTTAATTCGATGGACTCCTCTCCTCTTTAGGTGGGAAATTCTCCAAAACTGGTTTAAGACGTTGGCCAATCACTTTAAAAACATTACCATTCTTGGGATTTTCAATTTGGGCCGCATGAGAAAAAACGGTTTTAACTATGAAACGGCCCAGTCCATCTAGATCTCAATTTACCAGGAAACAAATGTAGTCTAGTTTTATACAAAAGAACCTTTTGTGAAGGATTAACAATTCCTTTGAGTACAAATAATATTAACATTAAAAACATATCATATACAATGACACGGGGAGGACTAGTCAATCAACTAGATGCCCTTTTTTCTTCCAAAACAGCACACCTTTTCTGCTCCCTTATCGACAAAAATATGCAATCCTGCCTTTAGGCAATAGAAATATTATCCTTTATTCGATGAAAAGCTACAAATACAAGACCCTTGTGAGTAAAAAGGTATACATCTTATGTAGAGGGGTAGAAAATTAAGATAAAAATTACCATTTGTTTTGCTGAATTCGAGCAGCCCGAGCACCCTTGACAACATTGCGGTCAAATCTAGCGTTTTTGCTATTATCTAAGTCACCAAATATATATTTCATAAAAGGAACAAATAAAGAACAGAAGACGGGTAGTAATTAAAAGGAAAAACAAATAAGTATTTGAAGACCAAAATCAAAATATTAAAGGACTGGAGGTACAATGAAATCTTGTCTAACCTTTGAGAGAGGTTTTGTGGATGTTATGAGATGATTTAGAAGCATACCGAGTCTTATGGGCCTTGTTGAGCAATTGATATTGTTGAAGGCTCAAATGTAGTTTTTCTACAAATTTAAATTAAATTCATTAAATCACAATTAAATACAAGTTGAGAGAATGAATATAATATCCAAAATTCATAGAACAACTATGTAATTTTAAGCATTCATCACACCTCCCAACCAGCTTTATTGCTACAACCTAGCAATTAGCGTGACTAAAATAAAATCAAAAAGTAAAATAAAAGCAACAACTCTAAATCACTTTTGCAAGAAATCACGATTGAATTTAGCACATGCAACAACCCCTTAATCCAATAGGTTACCCCTCGTGGACGAGTAAAAGTCTCGTGAGGGTTTCCAAAGATTACCCACAAACATCCAAAAATTTCTTTACTAAAAGGATTTCTTTCATTCTCATGCCAAAGTTCAAGAACTAGCCATGAATTTCACAACCTTAACAAGATAATCAATCAAAGTTCAAGACACAGGCAGCAAATAAAGATATCTCATGACATTCAAAATTTGGAGTGTGTGAAAAAAGTTTAGCAAACACAGACACAACCTTAGCCTTAAAGTGAAATATAACCCAAATCTCTTTCTGAAACATGCTTCGACTCAAATCTCACAAGTTATTGCACTCAACAAATAAATCACTCAGAATATGGTGCAAAAATTGCTCTCAATATATGCGAGTAGAACAATGTAAATCAAAGGCAAAATATCCCGCGTACTAATTTTTTTGAAAAACGCTAATATGAAAGAATAAATAAATAGTCTAATGAATAGAATATCAAATACTGAGAATTAAAATTTCTAGAGATATTACCCACAAACGTAAAAAAATTTCTTTACTCAAAGGATTTCTTTCGTTCTCATGCTAATGTTAAAAGAACAAGTCATGAATTTCACAATCTTAACAAAATAATCAACCAAAGTTCAAGACACTAGCAGCAAGTAAAGATATCTCAAGACATTCAGAATTTGAAGTGTGTGAAAAAGTTTAGCCAACACAGACACAATCTTAGCCTTAAAGTGAAATTCTGAAACATGCTTCGACTCAAATCTCACCAGTTATTGCATTCAACAAATAAATCACTCAGAATATGGTGTGAAAATTACTCTCAATATATGCGAGTAGAATAATGTAAATCAAAGGCAAAATATCCCGCATACTAAGTTTTTGGAAAAACACTATAATGAAAGAATAAATAAATAGTCTCATGAATGGAATACCATATACTGAGAATTAAAATTACCATACCATCACGCCTATCCATCATGTCCACTTGTAAACTATACCACTCTCAAGATCAAATAGGACTTTTATTTGGTTGTAATGTTTGGGTCGAGGAATTACGAAAAAATAATAAAAACGCAACGTTGAATAAAAAAATGGATGTCTCAGACATTATTGGCATAAAAATAAGCTCTAATCTGAGAGATTATTGGCATAAAAATAAACACAGTTAGAGCATTATTCCAAATGTTTTGCTCTTTTTGTTTCTTTTTTTTTTTTTGTCTTTTTCAACTTCCTCCTCCTGCTTTTTTTTTTCTTTTCGTTTTGCCCCCGCCCCCCCTCGTTGAACACAATTTATTTCTTCTTTTTTTTCCACCTTCTCTCCTTTTTTTACTTTTTTTTTTCAAACAAATTTGCCATTGCCAAACTCAACTTACCCAACATACTACAAAATTGAAAAGAAAGTATGGGTTGTGGGGTTAAACAAAGAAGGGCTAACATAAAGGCTCAAATCAGTTTCTAATGAAGCAATAATAAAGGAAAGAAAAATAAATAAAAGGCTCAATGAAACAAAGATGGCCTAAAATCATCTCTCAATTCATGATCTCAAAGGAATAAAAGTATGGTAACAAATTGATTTATCCTTAACATTCAACCAAAATTAAGAAATAATGAGACTAAACAACAAATTAATGCGCTTCCAAATAAAATTAAGAGTAGATGTATCACAACCCTCCAATAAAAGATTAGCACAAAACTCGTAGGCTCAAAAGTCTCCACTATCATTCTTCAAGATTTTCAAGTCATATCCACTTATCAACTAAAAATCATATTCATGTGGCTAAAGTGCAGTGCAATGATTTCCAAATACGAACACATGGAATACTTTAACAAAGTAGCTAACATATCAAACTTCAACACAATTTCTTGAATTAAAGCAATAAAATACTACAAGTATGCCGAATTACTCAATGCACAGAACAAAAGATTACCGTGCGCACTTTTTTTTTTTTTTTTAAAACAAAACAACTAACTCATTGTAGCAAGCAACATATAAATTCTTCTCAAGATAAGTATTTTCTCCCCCCAACCTGAACGATGCATTGTCCTCGAGGGAGTAAAAGTATGATAACAAATTGATTTATTCATTCAACCAAAAATGAAAAAATAATGAGACTAAACAATAAATTAATGCGTTTCCAAAGAAAAATTAAGAGTAGATGTATAATAACTCTCCAATAAATGATTGGCACAAAACTCACAGCGTTAAAAGTCTCTACTATCATTCTTCAAGATTTTCAAGTCATATCCACTTATCAACTAAAAATCATATACATGTGGCAGAAGTGTAGTGCAATGATTTCCAAATATGAACACATGGAATGCTGTAACAAAGTAGCTAGCATATCAAACTTCAAAATAATTCTTGAGTTAAAGCAATTAAATACCACAAGCATGCCCAATCATTCAATGTATAGAACCAAACAATACCATGAGCACTAATTTTTTTTTTAACAAAATAACTAACTCATAGCAGCGAGCAAATATATAAATTCTTCTCAAAATAAGTATTTTCTGCCCCCAACCTAAACGATGCATTGTCCTGAATGTAAAAAATAAAATCAAAAAGTATAGGAGATTACCTTAAATGATTAACCATGTCTATATGTGTCATTCGCCCAAAAAATTAATTTGGCGCCAAACCTTTTAGCGACTAAAAATCTTAACTCATTGCCAATAGTGTAATTTTTGGCGACTAACAATTAAATTGTCGCCGATTACATAAAATTGGCGACTAATTTCAGTTTGGATGCTAAAAAATGTCGCCAAAAATGTTTTTTGTTGTAGTGTTTCATTATTTTTTTCACTGAAGAATTGGGTAATTAATGATCATCATGCAATGATGTACATATTCTTTCCTTTTTTTGGTGAGCATGCCTCTTCCTAATATCTTCAAAGAAAAAAACGAAAAAAAAAATCAAGTAACTTCATGGTGACATCATGACATGTGAGCCAAAGAAGTTCAAAACAGAGAGAGAGCTGTGATGAAAGAGCAAGTTGCATTACATGTATAAAACTAGGATTGTTGGATGGCAAACTAGAAGAGAATGATAATATGACTTCAACTTCATCAAATAATGAAAGAAAACACTCAAGGAATGTGATGATGTTTGATAGTAACAAAAACTTCCCTTCCCTAGCTGTTATATATATTTAATTATTTACACATGTACATAACTTTTGGCAAGTTATGTAGAAAAAAAATGAATATTTAACAACCTTAATTTAAATCGCTTTAGTGTTTGTTTGATTCAACATGACTTGGATGGCAAAGCATAGATTAATATGATCTTTTGTGGGCATGGTCCCCAAAACAGGCATTTGTATAGCTTAAATCACCTGTAATATGAATAGAATGGGTGCCAACAACCATAGTTGACCGTTGACTCCAGCAGTTTCTTCCCAAACAACATCCATTCTCCTAGCCTGTAATTAACAACGGGATCAAATGGTAAGAGTCATCTCAGACCTGTAGAGGAGAACAATTGCAATAAACATTATATGCTCACCAAAAAAAAGTTCTATCTGTATTTCGATGGGCCATAAAAAACTAACACAGATCGGCTAGAAGACAAAAACATGGTTATTGCAACTAGCAGAAGCAAAAGAACTCATTGAAGTTCTGCAAACCATGCAGGACGACAAGGTTTCACAAAGAGCACACAACCAAGTGCAGACACACACGCAAAGTAGACTGCAGAAAGAACTGAAGATAATAAAGGCAAAAATGAAGCATGCACAGAAATTTGTTGGTGAAAGGAATTTTTTTTTTTTTTTTTCCCTTTTCAATTACACCTTCCCGAGTGCAATATGTGTACAAAGCCTTTGCCGTTGATATCTATTTTGTAGAAGCATTGCAACTCCTTGCATGATAGCCCATTGAAGGAACAATTGCACCCCTCTCCGCACAGTACATGTACAGTCTCACTCATTAAAAAAAAAAACAAAAACAAAAACAAAATTTCAATATGCAGTTAAGAAGGATAATAACTTGCTTCTGGGTCTCCCAAGTGAGACTGATAAGTGCCATGGCCATTGCGAAGTAGTGATGTTTTATCCACCTACATCAGCACAAGTGCAAGCATTAACATATTCTGTGGTTGTATGCATATTAATCTAGGAGGCAGATAAGAATCACAAAAAAAAA